GTTTAAACGTTAGAAATTGTTTGCAGCAACGTTCTTCCAAGGGAATTTGTAATTCTAGAACCACATTTTTGGTGCTTGTCGTTTAAATCGGTACCCAGGATGAAATTGTGTCCTAAAAAATTAAGGGGAGACATGGACTGGATATTGGGTATGCATTGGAGTATGCGGTTGAGACAGAAAAAGGTAAAGTTTTGATTACAATGGCAGTGGCTTGGAGGAAGTCGTAGTTAGGTGTACGGAGCATGTGATGAGAGAGAGAGACAGAGAACTATAACAGCACTATCGCCAATTACTCATCCGTTAGTGTGGTCAGCGAGATATGTCAAGCATTGCGGTATTTTGAATTACTGTTTAGTGGTTAATAGGGTTTCAAAAATCAGTGCCACGTCAAAGTTCTTGTCAACTAATAAAGTAGATAGTTCAGCGGGATGATTTGTAACACCATTCTTATTCTATAGAGAATGTATATAGGTTTATTATAAGTCATTAAAGGATTTATTAAAGGAGGCATGAAACGGGATACAAGATTGGTGAGATTACACAAATTTTTTACAGGTTACAGCACTATCTGGTGGTGTTTTAGTGTTCTTTGTTCTACTTAGACATGAGTAGCCTTCAGAACCTGTTATTTTGTTTAATTGATAACGTAGTAATTGAAATTATTTTATCTTTTTAACGATTCAGGAGAGGCCGGGGGTCTCTGGTTATCGGTACGGACTCCACGGAAAGTATTTTAATGAAATTGATAGAGCTATGGTATTATGAAATAAAACATCAGATGAAGCTCAATTCTGGAATCAGTAATTATGAGAGTGATGCGAGGAATGAAGATTTGCTTATCACAGAGAAAAACTGAGGTCATGAATGTTCAAACATCTTATCAGTTTGAATCCATTTAATAAACACTAACAGAGAATGATCTCTAGAGTGCATAAAAGACAACTAACTTATTATTATTATGACTATTATTTCTGGTTTATTAGAATGGTCTATATGGAGTTGTCCAATGGTGGAAGTTGTCAAATGGACCATTTTTATTTTTGTAAGGTGATGATTATATATGATGATTAGAATAGAAATAGAAATAGAAAATAAACTTTATTCTAGGACGATGTCCCCTTAGAATAACAATAATGTACAGTTACAAAAGAAAAAATATACATCTGGCCAAAAGCTAACTTAATAAAGATTCAAACAATATATGCAACAGCTTAAATAATAGTATGTAAATTACTAAAAAATAAAATAAAATCTTCTCAACTATACTTATAATTTTACTGGAAAAAATAACAAAAAAAGGGAAAAAAAAGAAAGAAAAAATAATTACATGTATCGAAAGAAAAAGCAATAGAAAGATATACACTGACAGGAAAAAATTTCACCCACTTGTTTTTTCATGTTTTCATCTAAAAATATTTCTGCTTTGGATTAGTCAATTGTTTTTAATGAATAAATAGGTAATCTTTTTGTTTGTTTTCAATTAGGAATGTTAATATAGAGGACAATAACCCTTAATCCTTAATTCAATGAAATGATTCTAGATTCAAATGTTTACTTTCTATGGAATCAAAATGTTTATTCAGTATCATTAGTTCAATGCCGTTTCTTGTAGCACATTTCTTAGTCTCCGGTTTTTAATTTTTTCAATATTAAGTTTAAAAATTCCTCTTAGTACTGAGGATGTTGGCACGTATTGATGATGGACGTTCCATTAGGCCATGCAGACGTTCCATTAGGCCATGCAGACGTTCCATTAGACATGCACCTAAAGCCATCGGAGTTCCATATGAAACTTTACGAGACGCCGTCAGGCGTTTTCGGAAAACTGGTTCTTACAATAGAAGGCCCTGTTCTGGGCGGCCTAGGGTAACAGAACCACGGGATGACCGATTTTTGACTTTAAGAATTTTACGAAACCGGCACATTACCGTTGTTCAAGCGATTCATCAGCTCGGAGAAGTTCGAGGTGTTCAAATTTCTGAACGTACCGCTCGGAGAAGATTAAATGAGTATGGATTAATGGCTTTTCGTCCAGTAAGAGGACCAGAACTCACAGAGTAATACGGCTGGCTTTTGCTCGAGAACACAGCCATTGGACTATGGACGAATGGAGTGCTGTACTTTTTACAGATGAGTCAAGATTCGCTATTCGATCTCCAGACGGGCGTGAAAGGGTGTGGAGAAGAAGAAACGAAAGATATGCAGCCTGTAATTTTTCCCAGAGCCAACCTTTCCAACGTGGTTCCTTAATGGTGTGGGCTGGGATTTCAATGGAGCGCGCCGCACAGAATTGGTTGTTGTTCGTAGAGGGTCTTTGACGGCCATTCGCTATGTAGATGAGATTTTGGAACTTCAGGTGTTGCCTATCCTCAACGAAATCGGCGATCGTTCTATTCTAATGCACGCCCAAATGTCGCCCGCATAGTGCAGACATATCCATTAACAGAACAATATTGAGGTTTTAGCGTGACCAGCACGTTCTCAAAATTTGAACTCCATTGAGCATTTATGGAATAACCTCGGAAGACGAATAAGATCGCGTGCAACACTTCCTCATACACTGCAGGATCTTGAAAGGGCTCTTCGGGAGGAATGGGCTATCCTCCAGCAAAGGGACATTTCCCGACTGGTGGAAAGTATGCCGAGGCGTCTTCAAGAAGTAGTGAAGGCAAGAGGAGGAAACACGCGCTACTAAACGATGATGTAATGAATTTCTTTTAGAATAATAATGGTTCGTTTTTAAATTTTTTTTTTCTCTAATCTTTCTTACCCAATCACATTTTGACTATTAAAGGTAAAAAAGATTATAAAATTCCATAAATACTAAGTATTATCTACAAATACCATGTATTATATACAAATACAACTTTACAGAAATATTTTTAGATGAAAACATGGAAAAATCAAGTGGGTGGAATTTTTTGCCTGTCAGTGTATATGTATACAAATTAAGGAATGTAAGAAATGAAATACGTCTAAAATATACACAATCTTGTAGATGGAAAAGAGAAAAATGGATAAAAACAACAAACAATCCTTTAGTTTTTATGCATCACCTCACAGTGCTATGCCAAAAGTGATACTGAATCTTTCCAGTTCACAAATAATAAACAAAAATAAAATAAAATAGTGGTGCATGGAAAAAAAAAAATAGATTAGACTTCAGGTATCTAGAAATAAAAAGTGCCGGTTTTTGCTTCCTCACTACCGAAGGTAGGGAAGCATTGTATTCGTGCAAACAATCGTATTAGGTGTCTATCTTTCTCTCTAATACATCTAAAATATAAACAATAATACGGAAACATTTTTATTCATATACATAATAAATCATTATAAAGAAAATCTGTTTAAATACACTAGATTGGTGTAGTCCCATACTTTATAATGACTATAACAAAGTAATAGTTTATTTTATTAAGTAATTGACTCATTCTGCTGAAAATTCAGTTAAAGTCTCAGCTATCTTTAAACTTTTAAATTCATTTTAATCCCTATCACGAATTTATAATAATTAAATCTTACTTATTTTGTACTTTTCAATTCAAGATTTTCAATTTTGTGTATCATCCCAATGTTCAAAATGAGCACTTAAATTTTTATCGATTTTGGTTTACGTCGATTTAAATTTTTGAATGGGCGTGTGACTTGAGGATGGTCGGAATGTCCAGTAGACTTGCTATCAGGGGAACCTTCACTTCTCCCTTTTCCCCCAAGATCGATGTCGCATGTATAACCCATTCCCCCCTTCTGAGACATTTTATTGCTCTCCTCTTCTTAAAAAAAGTGCAAGAGATGGTAGAATTAATAAATTTTTAGATCAAATACAATAATACTTGATTTAATGTTTTCCCTAGTTCCTGGATTTGAAACTTTTACCAACGATTTTAAACCTAATTTTATCAACAGAATTAATGTAATGAAAATGTGATTTTTTTTTTTTTTTAAATATTTATTAAAACAAAAAATATTAAACAACTTTTTAAATTAATTTTAAGATGCTCAGAAGTTTAACTTTCCTCTGTCTAATTCGTTATTTAGTAAGATTTAATATTTAGGAATCTATAAAACAGAGAGAAGTTAAATTTTTGCACATCTTATCTTAATGTTAACTAAAAAAATAGTCAAAGCTTTTTTTATTCTATTTTAATGAATATGTTAAAATAAAGGAAAAAAACATTAAGTCGAATTTTCATAAACTTATCACTGTTTAAAAATTGGTTTGCATATACTGTTTTTACCTAGTAGTTTATTCCTAAATACAGATATTAGTTACATACTACTGATTAAAAAACACAAAACCCCTTCGAAATGAAAACCCCTTTAAGCTCTGGCATTAATCCCCCGCCCTCAACCCCTGGCCAGAGATTTGGTCAAATGGTACTTTGAGTACTGAGTACCAGGTATTTTACTCAAACACTGACCTTTTTTGAATCCCAAAGGATTTAATTACTACTTCAGTTGACGTCAGACGAATAACTAAAGTAGTGATTGAATTCTCAATAACGATTCAATTGGAGTAAAATATTTGTCCTCTGAGTAGTATTTGCCCATCTCTGCCCCTGACCCGGGAAAGTATAGTCTAAAAGGCGCGGAAGGGGAGAACAAAAAAAAAAGTTTTAAACTGTTAAGTTTTATATAACTATTAAGTTACACTCAGAATATTACTTTTCGTTTCGGATCCAATTTTAATTCAATTTTCGGTGACAATTTAGGTAGTATCTTGGCAAAATTGGACTTGCGTTAGCAGTCTTGGCGTTAGGTAAAAAAAAAGCTAAAAACATTAGAAAATATACCAGGTCAGTTAATATTTAATGGTTTTGAATGATAGTAGTCTGTTTAGCATTTTGTTAAGAAAGCAAATCTTTTTTAAATGTAGTTCAATTATATTGCATATAGTTCATTCGTTTCACCGAGGCCTCGAGAAACGACTGTTGACGTCCTAACTCTGGTTAGTACGGTTCCATAATCCTAAGATTGTTCAAAATACAAAACAAACTTACTCTTTCAAGATGATTGTTGTATAATTCGAGGATTTTCAATTTCTTTGCGTTGGCTATGGCCCCTCCGAGATATTTGATTTTATTGCTCCCCAAACTGAGAATATCCAACGCCGTAAAGTCCTTGAGTTCCTGAGGCATGCTGCCAATTCTGTTGTTGCTGGCCTGAAGCATCGTCAGCCTCTTGTTAGGCCTTACTTCAGGCAGCTCCCCTTCTAAATTATCTAACTGATTGTTATTCAAGAACACCCATTCAAGATCCGTAAGGCACCTGAAACATAATAACCTATTGTGAATAGGCTGTGAACGAACCAAAAAAAAAAAAAACCTGTAACACTGGAACTCAAGAAGTGTTTTGGGTTTAGTACTGTACTTCAGTACAGTATGCTTTTTAATTAGCTCCTCAATGAAATACTTTCAAAAACATTTTTTATTCTTTTTAATGTGAATTTATACATAATCTTTTAACTCAAAGGGCGACAGTTTAATCACGGTAATTTTTTTAATCGCTGTTAAATGTTGTACCATTGATATTATGATTTGATTTTTACATTCACTTACAGTATAGTAACGGTAAGTATTACGATCACGGTTATACACATTTTTACAATTTTCTCAAAAATGGCTAAAATGATTTTGATCAAACTCGGTATATCAATGAATAATTAAGTAATCTTTAGCATCATTTAAGTCTTATCCTTATTGATATCACTTAACAGGGCTTAAATGCACCAGGATCAAAATTTGTTTCGTCTAAAGTACCTTTCATTTGGTTGTAATAATTAACTATATCTCCATGTTAGGAGTTATGAAAAAAGGCTAAATATAACATTTGTAAGAATTTGATTATTGAGTAAAGGAGAAAAAAAGAACAATGCTTATATAGTTCGAAAATGAATCTCCGGAAATAATAGACAGAAGGTATACATATTATATATCGTCGGAAAGCGAAGAATTTTAGAAAACATAATATCTAATAAATAAATTTGCATAAGGTAATGGAGAGTGACGAAGAAAATATAAATAATAAATTCTGAAAACTAACATTATTCACGTAAACCACATGTTTTCAAGGAATCTACTCGAAACGTCGTTTGAAGCTGAATAAATTTTTGAAGTACGAGGGCTTATATATTCCCTGAAGACACCATCTATAAGAATATGATTTGTGTTATTTTAATGATATCAATAAGTTCTTAGTTGTAAGGCTTAAGCTTTGGCTGAAATGTACCCTTCAAAAATTTTATAGTAGCCCAACATAGCCAAAAACAATTTCTATTCAAATTATATCAGATATGAGCCTCTCATTAAACATGGTATTCGACATCAACGAAAAGTGACGTTTAATTTCTATGTTTAGAAGATTATGGTAGATCTATTAAACTCGGAACTACTTAATGATTCATATCAGTTTTGTCAGGTAAATGAGGAAAATTTCGTAAATATAATTTTATTAAATAAATTGAACAAACAATTTGTTATTACTTCAGCCCTATAAGCATGTAAAATAAAAAATTGATACAACCGAAGAGTTGAGATATTATTTTCCTCCAAGCCCGAGGTTCAACTGACGGCGGCCCTTCAGAAAATATATTTTAAAATGAATGAAATATGTATCTTATTTTATTAAATTGTATTCGTTATTTTGTAATATTTGGATCTGAGCTGATTATAAATGAACATAAGTATAGGTGATAATCAAATCACAATTATAATGCATTCAGAGAATTTTAACACAGGCTGAATGATTACAATAGCGTTCGTTTTCTCAATAAATAGTTTTGAATTGATTATTCAATAATAAATGACAAACTAAATAAGTCGGCAAGAATTTATCTCTAAAATATCAAAGCAAGTAACATATAAAAGCTCATTCATGGAACTCATTATAGAGAAAATTGTTTCATTGAAGACGCCCTGACAGATTTATAAGGACATCAGTTCAAGGCCAGACCATCAATGATTGGGTTTTTTAACTATTGAAGTTAGAGGCATCATGATATTCAGTCCTAACATCTATTACACAGTAGTACAACTTTCTTTTTCTCAAATTAATAAGTGAAAAAGAAGTCCACTTGCTCCTGCATAGTTTAATAGATTAATTTTCCTAACATTTAACTATATATAGAGGGAGTTATCAACATCATTGAAAAACAGATAGGCTGGTTTTAATTTGATTACTTCAAATATTTGATTTTATATCTATTATAAATGAAAATACTTATGAAAAATTTATATATTTTTTGTATAAAAAATATATTTGAAAAATTACATGAGTGTGGCAAGAAAACTTATTAGTTATGGATATTCCAACAAAATGATAAATAGTGCCAATTATAATAAAATGTCAATACAAAGATGAAAAAACAGATATCATTAGAATATGAGAATTAAAATAGAATAAGTTTTGACCGATTTTTAAACAATATAATAAATTTGTAATTTTCATATGACTAGTTGGATAGTGCAAATAAGTGTAAGGTACATTGATCAGTCATCAAATGGTATTATAATATACAAATGAAATCATTTTTGAAAGAAGGTTGATTAACAGTTTTTTATTGGTTAATTATTGAAAATAAACTGAAACATGAGTACATCAAATAGGCTGTATCTTTGTTCATAATAGTCTGATTTCAATTATCCTTTTTTTTTTTTTTTTATAGAGAATTTAATAAACTTTCAGATTGTGTATATAATCATCTGTAAACAGCAAAGTTTTTTTAATTTTGGAAATACAGTTTCTTTATAACTTTTTTCCTACCTTTTATGGGAATTATACTTATTGGTATTAGTGGTGAAGATAATCTTAAAAATGATGACTCAATCATTGGTTTCGGTGATATATTACTAGATATAAGAGCACCAATAAAAAAACATAGAAATAATATGAGAAATAATGTAGGGATACAAATAATTAATAAAACAGGATAATTAATGAATAAAATATAATAATTCTGAGAACAAAAATGTAATACGAATGATAATTATTTTCAATATTTGTTCGTAATTTTTTTTTTATTTCTAAGAATACTGTCCTTTAACATATACACCCTTTAAAACTTTCTTTTTGATTTGGTTTAATGATAAACGTTTTAGACATCCATCCATCTTCAAGACCATCATTGAAATATAAGTTATTCCATTAGTTATTATTATTTATTAATAATTCTTGTTATCGCAGTCCTCACCAGTAACGGATTCAAGTTTTAAGAGGTTTTTTATATATACATTTTTTATTGTAACAGTAAAACTTTAAGTGGTAATTTCCATAATGAAATTTAATTACAGGAACAATAATGCTTTTAGGATATACGTATATATTATGATTGTTTGAGTATTTAGTTCAGATAATTCACTGAAAGAAATATGGACCGATAAAGCGAGAGTATGACTAATTTCAATTAAATATGAACTTTCACCAGAATTTCAAGTTACATTTAATTTATTTATGTGAATACATTTGTATATTCTATAATTTATAAAAAAAGATATATCATCTTTACTTGTATTTCTATTATTGTCCTTTCTTCAATATTTCTATTTTAATTTAACTGGACATCTCTCATTTATTATTATTCATTTCAGTTGATTTATTTGTCTTTTTTCTTTTGATTTCATTTTTTTTGTGTGTTTTACATTTATGTTATATAATATATTGACATCCCATAAAAATATGTTAATTAGGATTTTTTATTTAATACAAAGTATTGTAGAATATCTAATAAAGATATTAGACATTGATAATATCTAATATAAAACTTGTTGCATATAAAATAAAACAATTTTAATAGGAATTAAATAATTAATTATTCACTAATTTTTAAAGTAATGTAGTACCAGAGTAGCTCAGTGTGTTAGGCACTAGGCTGCTAAGTTCAAGGCCATGGGTTCAAATCTGGCTGATGTCAAGTAATTTTTCGTCTGGTGTCAGTTATCAATAAATCAGGTATGGATCAACCCTGGAGTTGGGAGATCCTCCGGAGGAAGGGAAGGGGGGCACACTACAAAGTGGTTACTCTTAATTAAATAATTAATTAAGGGAGCAAACCTCTCTTCACAACCATTGGCCTCAAAGTACTGAACCCAAAACCAGTACAGTTTTTTTTTATTTTTGTTTTATTAAATTAATTTGTAAGTTATCTAACTATTACATTGTTTGATTGTACTTTTCCTTCATTTTAATTTTAATGTTCTATAACTATATAATTTAATTAATTCTCGATTGTCTTCTTATGCCAGACAAATGTCATGTCATTGTTCATTATAATTATTCTTAAATGTCCCAGAATAAAATTTCCTTTTCTTTCTTTCGTAACATTGTTCCATTTTATTCTTATTATACTAATAAGTATTATTATTAAATAATTAATAAATAATAATAATGCCAACCTTAGTGTGCCATTAAGACTCCTTATCCTGTTTCCACCAATGTGCAGTTTATTAATTGTTGCTGGAAGTGAATTTGCTTCCAACAAGCTAACATTATTAGCAGACAATATAAGAGTTGAAAGTGTGGGCAGCCCCTAGAATAATTATTTTAAAGGATGAAATACATTTTTAAAAGAATATTAATTCCACTTGCTGTTATGTTAAAAATGAATCAATTTAGAAGTACCAGGAAATCAGTTGATGTTATATTAGCAATGCCTCCCCTCGAAATATCCAACGTTTTTAATCTTGGCATCAATCTGAGAACATTTTGTGGAATGGCTGTCAAGGCGTTGTCTGATAAACTTACAAGTTCTGCTTTGCCCATTCCTGAAAACACAGATTCTGGAATGGCACTGAAACAAAATATTCAAATTATTACTAGAAAGGACTGAATTAAAAAATTGAATATTGAATTGAAAAAAATTGAAGCACATATGATGCGGTATTTGTTGAAATATGAACTCCTAAAAAAATTAACCATCTATCTTTTTTGAAAGTTTAAGTGAATATCGTAGCAGTGAAAATCAAGCTTTGGTTCATAAACCTTTATCAGGCTATAATTGCCTCACAAATTCCATTATCAATAAATGTCCTGACATTATTGATAACAATCAGCAATTAACATCCATAGTCTCTAAAATAGAAATTGTCACTTAAAATAAATTAATTGAAATTTATCAACTCTTATTTTTATCTAATAGTCTTTAAAAAGATTGTAAACAACATACATAATATTATAATTTATTTATTTATTAATCAAAAATACATTTTGCCTCAATTAAGGGCATTATTATTTGAGATTTAAGACTCATTTGTAACATATACAATTAAAAAAAAAAAAGAAAAGAAAAAGAAAACTTAGTAAAAGAAGAAATAAAACATGAAACAGCATTAAATAAAATATAAATAATAAACAACAAACAAGGAATATATTTAAAAATATGGTAAATATTAGGTATAGAAGGTATAAAGGTATAGAACTAAGATTTAAATAAAGTATTACTTTAAGATATTCTTTGAAAAATGTTAAAACTGAAATAGGAAAAATAATTTATCACTATCCAGCCCTCATATTCTATAATAAGCTATTTTTAAAAAATCAATACTTATATACTGTACTGTATTTTTTTCTTTAAATGGTCTCACTATTTAATAGATCTAATAAATGTTAAAAAATTTTAAAATTCATGATTACAATGAATGAAATTTAATTTGTATAGTTATATGTAATATATACATAAAATAATTACTTTAAAATTTTCACCCTTCCGATAGCTGATTATAGCTTGATAAAGTAATAAATTAATTATTTAACTAAAGTTTAAAAAGTTAATAAAAAAAAAGAATATGGGCTATAAAATATGTTATCAGCTAAATTAAATTTTATTCAAACGTTAATTGCTTCTTGGAAATATTGAGCAAATATGATATTTTTTACAATAACAAACTATACAGGTTTTAATTTATAAAGCAATGAAATATATAAATAGAAAAGTTTGTATACATAATTTATTTTGTTTTTCTTTTAAAAACTTGACTCTTTCATTTTATATAAACAAATTGAGTCGAGGTAATGATTAAAATTGTCTGATTCCATCACTTTTGTGTTTAATATTGTATTAACAATATTCAAGGAGTGATTTTTTTTTTAGTTTGTAAACTAGAGCCATATTTTCAGGTTGATAATACAAATATTGATTTTAATTTGCAGCTTGAAGTTTTTATTTTTTTTTGAAATAGAAATAGATTAGAGAAGTTTGTGATAAAATTTTATTTAATTGATAAAACTTTATATAATTACCTTAAATTATCATTTTGTAGCCTCAACTGCTGAATGGTGATGCCCATTTGTTGAAATGATAGTTGAGGAAGATCATCTAATGAAGAATGGCTTATTTTGAGAATGATGTCAACGTCAGTTTCAAATTTCCCTTGAAGAGCTGTAACAACTTGTTGGAAACTTGTCATACTTTCACATACAACATTAATTACTTTTGAACTTCTCAAAGGTGGTGGATCTTCATAGCGGCAGGTGCATGGTGATATTTCTCGTCGAACTGCACAATGTACATTTGAACCCAATGGTATTCCCGTAACAGTATATGATATGCTGGTAATAAAAAATAACTTAAGAAAAATATAGACACTAGCCATACTGAATAATTCCTTCTTGTCACATGGACTTATTAGTATTTGACTACAGTATTTGAGGTAGTTAACACTTGACCCCCACTTCACCAATCACTGAAACATATTTCACCTTAATTCCCATTTCAGAACTTCATTAATAAAAAATTTCTTTTTCAGAAAACAAATAGTGATTACTTTATAGTAATATCTATTTTAATAAACAATAAATTTTAACATACATTTTTGAGGTACAAGTTAATCCAACAACCTTAATTTGTCACAAAATTGTATTGATTTAAATGTTTACCTTAAAAACAAAATTTTCCATTTCTTCGTAATCATGAATATTATAATTTAAATTTAAACTGCTTTATAAATAAGAGTAGTCAAAAAATAAAATTCCTTACAAATTAGTGTTTATTGTATATATCAAACATAAAAATAAATAAAACATTAAAAAAAATTAGAGAAGTTATGTTTGTATCGTAGAACATAAGTTAGTCAAAGGACTAAGAAGATAGTTAACACTGAACTATTGATAATGCTAAGATAAGTGATAGATATAATTGAGACCTTTAGCCTTTCAGGAAGAATGGGATTTGTCTGAGGCCATTGATTGGAACACCAAACAAGACCTTACATACCCTTCTTTAACAAATTAATAACTTATTAATGTTATAAATGCTATGAATGAAATGGCTCATCATTATCTTAAATTAAAATTATCTTGTTATGGAAAATCTTAAAACATTTACTATAGTACATAACCTAATTATAAGCTTTATTTTTTAATGATGATATTACTAAAAACTAACTTCATCCATTTTGATATCAACTTTAAATTGGCACAAAATCTAATATAAAATTATTCAGACCATATTTTCACTATTATTATTGAGTACTCGATGTTTTAAATAGTCATTATTCACTACCTTGATATTGATATTTTTAAAATTAAATAGAAAAGAGGAGGTGAACAGAAAAAGTTCTTATGAATTGCAACTATTTTGGTGTGAGGAATCTGCAAACAATAAGGGAATGCTCCATTTTTTTCTTCATCCAGGCAGACTTTTTAAGAGGTTATTTTATTATTTAATTTTTTTTCTCTAAATATTTTTGAGAATTTCAGTCACCTCTTTTTCTATTGTAAGGTGCTATATTCTGTGTAGTAAAGTATAACTTAAATCATTCACTCATGCTTAAATAAGTTAATAATCAGAAATTTTAATCAAAATCTTTATCAAGTAATGGTAAAAAAACGTAACTTACCTAGATTGATTTATTTGTAAAATCACATTGTATAATAAGGTTAACATTTCAGGATCTTTTCTTATTTTCAGAATTACATTCTTAATAAATATATCACCCTTCCATTGCAATATTAACATAACTCAAAAATCTAACCTTTAAAAATAACTGAGTTAAAATTTTTAACTTCATGTTAATCAAACAGCATTAAATCAATTGAATCAAATAGACTTCAAAATAAAATTTACTTGAAAATGCATAATTTTTTTTAATATTTCATTATTGCATTTAAGTTCTATATTGCAATGGTCTTGGGCCTCCTACAAAAAAATAAATAAATATGTGTGATGCATAAATACATTTCTTGATTCTTATTGATCAAATCAACCCATATATTGTCTTAATAATACAAACAATCATATATTCTTCATTAAAATAGGAGTGACAAATTCTAAAGGTTTTTACTGCCACCTTTAGAATTGGTCCACTCCTATATACAAATTTTTTACTGTACCGTAATGTTATTTAAATTATAATAATGAAATATTCATGGATTGACAAGACTAACAGGACTTAAGAGATGTATCTATATATTTATTTATACAAAATATTAATAAAAATTGGGTTGGGATGATCGTAAGTTCTCGAAACTCAAAACATTTTATTTCATGTTATTTTAAAAATAAATTAATAAAGGTAGATAAAAGTTGTATTTTTCACCATTACATGATTAAAATTTGCATCAATATGAAAAAGAAAAAGAAGAGTATAATGGATTCTGGGCATAATGGAATCCAAGAAATTTTCTCATTTCAATTTAATTAAGCTGTAAATAATTTATGCAAATAATCCTTTCAACTTCATATAAACCTTATTGAAATATAACAATATAATATAATTACTAATTTTTTTTAATATGAAGATTTTTGTTTGATTTAGATAAATATTGTAATCATGTAAAACTGTATTACATTGTAGCCCTCAGACAATTATGTTCTTTATATTAAATATAAGCAGCATAATGTACATAGTGTATACAACTTAATATGTACTAACAAATACTAATAATAATGATTAAAAGTTGAATACGAAACAACTTTGATTAATTCGTAAATCTAAAAAATTAAATAAACCGTTTGAAAAAATCTTTAATTTGGATGTAAAGAATGTTTTTTCTTTATTCTTAACTGGCATACCAAATATTATTTTCTGTCTATTACATATATGGAGGGACATTCATTATTCAGTCTATTGATCAATTATTCATATGTTTTTTTACTATTAATGGTCGAAATCATTCGTATTCCAAAAACAGACTCAAGTGAAAATTCACCAGCAATTCAATAACAACCATTTCAAGTCAGGTGTACACAAAAAAAAACAATGAGCGACAAGATTTTTGCTGTAGAATAATTGCAGCTGACAAACGCTTCTTTAAATTTTTTTAAATCTATTAATTAGTAATGAAACTATGATGAGACTCAAATAAATATTAGTCTGCTTCTCGCCAGTCCTCAATTATGGATCTTAGTACTCAATTATTTACTACCTCCACTCAAACCTGTTGTAGACAACATTTTCTCCAAAATGGAGGAATCGAATTACATTTGATATTAGATATTACATATGATGTAAGAATATTTTAGAGAAGGTCCCGATCAAGCAATAGATTATTGTGCTGTTGACCAAAGTATCTATGTAATTATTTTAAGTTGCTAAACTATTTTTATTCTATTGACTTTTTAGTTTTAAACTAGCTGCTAAACTCAAACTATTTTCCTGACATAAAATTGCAACTACTGATTTGACTCACTCCTAAGTCATATAAGTTTCACAATGAAAAATATGAATAACAATTTCTGTCTAAATCAATCTAGTAGTTTGGAAGTGGTACTAATAAAGAAATACTTGATCTATCCCAGTAATATTATTTGACCAACGCAAAAGCATCTATCATTATAATTACATAAACCATTCAGATGTGATTAGACAACATTCCCCTCATTTTCAGAAGACAGTAAAACATTAATAAAACATTTCTAGCCAGCCAATATATTAAATATAACATTCATATGTGCATGTAAAGTTATATGAACAACAAAAATTAATCCAAAACTTTGTATATAAATTTTTCTTATGTTTTAAGGAACTTCAATAAGAGAACAAAGAATCAATAATCAGTACAATGACATCACATGCATAGCTAAGTTTGTCAGAAGTGCTATTATAAAACATTTCATCAAAATAAGCCACTTGTCTTTTTATCTATCAATCATGACATAAGGTAAATGAAATAAAACAAAATAACAATACCATAATGAAGGTAAGAATATTTATTAACTTAAACTATTACAATGAGACCATTACAAAATTATTATGGGAAATAAAATATTCACAAAATAATTACAAATTTTATTCATAAATAGAAGCACAATGTATAAAAAAAAAAAAGGAAAAAAAGTAATGAAACATTTGTATTAATATTATTAGTTTAATTGTATGTTTGAAGAGTCGATGAATTCTTTAAATGGTCAAATAAAACTTATTACAATGAATAGTATAAGCATTACAATGAAGTTCTTTTTTTTTTTTTAAATCAGCAACTTAACCCACTATTTACAATCCAATACAAGGATATTAAACAAAACTTTAAGCTTTAAATGCAGTAAAGTAAAATATTACTATATATGAGCTTATACAAGGAGTATTTATAACTTTAGTTGTCAAAAATGAAATTGAACTTTACAAAATTATTAATAGAATAAAACATTCGTTAAAATTAACTAACACAAGTAGTTTCATAACTTGATGTCATATATAACTAATGTGTTACCCTTCCCCTACACATACTTCAATCTATAAAATGGCATATAAAAAGCCAAATATATAATATTACAATTAATGATACATACATAGTAGGTAGTCCACACTGGACTAGACTAAGTGGTAAACTGAAAACTAAATGATTAGTTTTCAGTCGTAAAATACATCATAAAGCTGCAGCAAAGTAGAATACAATATAATACAGGATAAAAAAAAAATAACAAAAAAAAAGAAATGAATAGATTTATTCTATTTAGGCACAAACAGCTTTGCAGCTGCAGGATACTTTTCAGGACTAAAATCAGGATGATGCCTAAGTGTAGGGGTTAAAGTAGTCCTGACTTGCTCTTTGTAAGCAGCCCTCAGAGACGTATCACCTCCTGCGGTTTCAGCAAGATTTGGTTCCACCCGAGCAACACCAGCTGCACCCAATGCAGTATTCATACTCTCTACAAAATTTATTAATACACTTAAGGATATAAATTGTACTGTTCAATAAATACAAGAAAAAACTGAGAGAAAAATATATTAAAAAATTGATATCCTTAACAATAATTTATACTAAAACAAAAAAGCCACTTATGTATACATACATGCTTTCTAGTGATTTTGTAATATATTTTTTTAAATCTATCGAAAAATGTTTCTATTCCGTGTAATAAAAGTAGTGGGTAGGATTCATTGTATTAAATGTATTGAAGCTAGTTAACCTACCATAAAAGGAAAAACAACCACATTCACCATTTCTTTTCAGGCCTAAAGTTGGCAAAATTAAAAATATAACTAATTCTCTCTATTACCACCAGAAAATAGTTAAATAGACTTTGGGTTAAAATCCCTTATCCACTCCAATCTTTTATAAAATAGGATATAACAAATGTGTTTTGAATTAAAACAGCCATGTATAAAATAATATAACATACCTGAGATTACTCTTGCTAAATTGCCATGGGGTTTACTAGACGTAACAACCTTACGTCTTTTGCTAGGCATTCCTGCCAGGTAAGCATCACTTAATGGTCCTTGCACGGCTTGGCGTCTTTGTCTTTCACGATCACGGCTGATTATTGGAACCCAGTCCTACAAATTTGTATATTTTATTAATAATAAAAACTAACCATCAACATATTTAAAAATAAAATAGTTCAAAACAGATAACAAATAAATAATGAATTTTATTGTTACATTCATTTAATTGTTCTATAATGAATACGATTCAGTCCAACTATACAAAAAAGTGTGTTAGTTATATGTTGAGTTCTAACTCAACATATAACTAACACACTTTTAACACACAGATGTGCCAGTTACTACACAGATGTTCATTATTTTATTTTAATTAAGCTCTCACATCATCTTGAAAGATTAGTCTTTCAATTATACGATTCAGCAAGAACAAATATGTAAGAGTTAATCACCAATAGTTATCAAATTAATATCAATATAGTCAAAAATTCCTTGAAACCATCAAAATAATAAAGACCTTCTTTCCACCTATCTGTACTTAACCAACAATGACTAGTAGAACACTTTAGTAGCCTCCTTTGTCTCTTTTCACCTACTCTACAAACCACATCAACGTGCCTTTATTATTTTAATTTTACAGCACATAATTATTTTTTTAAAATATTTCTGTACCTAATACCAATTAATTGTAATTTTTTGTATCTTGGTCTTTCAAGCCCTGATGAAGAGATACAATGTATATTGAAACATCGGCTACAAATAAATATTATATCAACATATAGTGTGATTGTTGACTGTTCAACCCCTTCCTTTAAGTAATCCTTTAATAATTTTAATTAATTGGACCAAACATTTTTGACTTTTACTTACTGGTGGGACAGCATTATGCCATTGTTCTGCTCCAATAATGACTTCGGGGAGCTGATCTGGAATCTGTTCTGGAAGTGACTGTTGTATTGTTACAGAAGGTGTGATGGGTATCGCAGAAGGGACTAATATTGGAGAAACGGGTAAAGATGTTGATAACGGAGGAACTGGTGCTGCGGAGGCAGGGGTGGGTGCTGCTTCACTAGCCACTTCAGTATCCATTGCCTGCATAAAAATTAATGATGAAATTAACTTTTTAATACTTAAGTAAAAATTATAATAAAAAAGAATAAGAGCGTAAATAAAGATCTACGATGGTGATTATTATCAGAATAATAATAAGTGATGCAAGTAACCAATAAAAAATAAATCAATTTAATTGTATTACTTTTAGGCCCCACATTTTTAAATTTTTAGCTGGTCCATAGTGAAAAATAGTTGCTCATGGCCGATTTAAGTTTTAAAAATTCTTTGAGTTTTTAAACTTTCTTCCACTTTTTCTTGCCATGGCCTTTTTTTGTTTCGCTTAAGTAGTTAATTCTTTGAAAGAAAAATTAGATTTCTTTATTCTTTGCTAATCAATTTTTTTTTCACAGAGGTGGTCTCTGTTCAATCATTCTCAAATAAATAATTACTTGTATTTGTACTTCTTTGATAAAAGCTGCAATACTTTTTTTGCTAAAGTAGAAATTTGTATGAAAAAAAAAAATGGCAATCTTTCAGGAAAAACAAAGAATCTACTTATTCTTTTTCCTTTTTCTGAAACTATAACTCTTAGTTAACATTTTCTTATGCTAAGTTTTTTTAAAAGATGTAAAACCTGTTTAAAGATGAATTCCTCGATCTTGCTCTAAACAAAACTCTAGACAGTATAATTACAAAGTTATCAACAATTTTAAGTAAGAATGATGTGGTTAAGAAAGAGCAATATAGCTAAAAAGTATAATTTAAAACGTGTTGCTTGCTTTTCATGTGTGTTGTGGGGTAGTTTAATAAAAAAATTGTTAGAAAAATTTCACACTTGCCCACACCACAGTCAATGTGTTAAGGTTATTACTAGAGATCGGATTTTAGTGCAGTGAAAACCGAAAAATGTGCAATGTATAGATAGATAGAAAAAAAAAACTTTATTCTGGGACTAAGTCCCTTCAGAATAACAATAATGTACAAAATAATAGAATATTACTGGCCTGAACGTTGAAACAATAAATAAAATTGATAAAATAAAATAAAACGTAAAGAAAACCTTAGGTGCACAAGCTATATACAAACAGATAAAACTATGTACAGAGCATTTAAAATTATGAACAAAACAATTAAAACTATGAACGAATCACTTGAACTATGAACAAAATTATATTTAAGGGTTGAACAACATAAACATACACTTTGAGAAATGAAGAACGAAAAAGAGATACAATGAGTTCATTTCATAAAAAAAACAAAAAAAAAAAACTTTACTTGAATATATATATAAAAATAAACAGTTACTTATAATTGAATAAAAAATAACATAAAAAAAAATGTATGTATTGAAATTCCTACGTCGATAGTAGGAAATGCATGTACTATCTCTTACCAAGTGTTATGATTATATGATTGCTACACAATACATATATAATATCAATAGTTAGCTGGTATCAGACTGTTTTTGGAACAGGAATTGGAATAGGAGGTTTTTGAATGTATACAGGGAAGGGGCATGTCGAATTTTGATCGGGAGGGAATTCCAAAAGTTGACAGAGCGGGCTATAAAGGAATTTTGGAATGAGGCAGATCTATGAGAAGGGATGTATAGGTCAGAGGGTCGGGATCTTGTAGTGAGTGAATGGATTGAGGACTTAAATTGGAGAAGGTTGTAGGCATAAGAAGGACGATGATCGGTAATTATTTGATAAAGGAAAGTGCCAAGGAAATATTGTCTTCTTAAGGAGGGGAAGAGCCACCCTAACTCAGTGTAGTGATGGGTTGGGTATAAAACTCAAAATGTGCAAAATCGTGTACTGCACGCACTATGTACTACACGGTTTTTACTTATATCCAGAAAGTGTAAAATTTTATACATAACAGACAAAAATCCTTGTTTTTGTTTAATTTATAATATTTTTGCTTGTTTATTTCTATGTTAAGAGTTATAGCCTATAAATTGAAGTTAGGTATAACGTGCAATAACCTGAGAAAAGTCTAATTCTAATTTAAACTGGAAGACCATCGATTTATATCTTTATGAAAGAAAAGCAGCTAATAAAAATTTAATGATATATTTTTATAAAACCATGGATTATTGAATTGAGGCTTGATTTGTTGCAGATGTAGATAAATTTGAATTTTTAAAAAGGTAAAAAGGAGGTATTATTGAGCTAAGCAGCTATAAAACATTTGTTTCATACTTGTTTGTTTAAAAACTGGAAGATAAATTTAGATATGTTTTGGAACTGCGAATACCAGGACCATGATGATAAGGGGCTTTGTAAGTGGCTATGCACACTTGCAAAAATTAAATTATTAAATATGTTTCCCAATTATAGTATTATTTATTCAATAAAATGTAAGTATTTGGATAGTAATCGTAATACCTCTATCAAACAGTTAGAGTCTAAAATATCTATTCATCTCAGAAACATAACAGTGTTACATTTAAAATGTTATTTTGAATAAAAAATTTAAAAACTACTTCCGGCCTTAAGCTGTCCATGGGTTGGACACCCTTGTTCTCAACTACAAATCTATTATAATATATAATAAAAGTAAATAAATAATTACATACATGTACATTCAATAAAGGAAATAACCTAATTTCCTAATTTATACTGTTGAAATTAAAATTTAGCCTTTAAATTGTAAAATATGCAATATCAAGCAACAAAAACCAAAAACGTGCAAAATGAAATTTCAATATGTCATTCTACATATTGTGAAACGAATAGATTGTAGGGTTCGAAGTTTTTACACAAAATGTGCAATAACATGAAAATCCGGTCTCTAGTTACACGTTATTACATTGGAATTTTGCTCATCTAAACTAAGAAAATGTCTATATTTTGTATTCCACTGGCATCCCTTCGTAATTGTTATTTTTGTCACCAGTTGTTTTGAAGAGTAAGATATTCATTACATTCAACAGACATGAGGCAAGAACAATCAGCATTCGTTCACCAATCAAAAAAGCCTGGTTCCCACATTGTTCATCAAACAAAGAAATGCATGTTTTACAGTGTCCTTACTCTTAGGTATTATATGAGTGGCTTATATCAAAGATTCCCACATTGTTCATCAAACAAAGAAATGCATGTTTTACAGTGTCCTTACTCTTAGGTATTATATGAGTGGCTTATATCAAAGATGGACATTTGCCATTTTCAGAATGCAAAGAAAAAGTCAATTTTTGTTTTGTAGGTTCAACTCAAAACTGTTTTTTTATGATTTTATTTAATAATGTTCAAGTTTAAACATGAAAATAAATCACTAGAATTGGTTTAAATTGAAGCTATGTCACATATAATTGATTTTTCTGACATTTTTCAAAATTAGACATTTGTCTTTGATATGAGGGCACTCGTTAGACAATTTATATTGAAGCTTTGAATTAATCAACCAGGCTCTAACATAATTTCAACTGAATCTTGACACAATTTATGAAACTATATTGTTTAATAAACTTGATAACTACGATGCTGACCAACAATCATTCTTAAAGGTATTACTCTTTTCTTTTAGGTCTTCCTATCTTTGAACTTCCATCTCTGATCTATGTATCTTCTAAATCATTTTTAGAATTACAAAGTAGGTTGATTGTATGTTTAGAAAAAAATAAATACATTGAAACACTTTTAAGAAATAAATATTTTTGGCAATTATGCTAGTTATATTTAACAATGAACTAGCATAATAATAAAAAAAAAAATGTATTCATTAAAAGTAAAACATGTTTTAAGGTATTACTTTTCTCTAAACTAATATTTTCTCAATATGGATTCCACCTCTTCTTCTATTTTAAAAACATAGTATATACATATTCAAAGATAGATCAAGGATAACAATTCAAATATATGAAGATAAAAACAACAGTCTTATTACTTAAGGAAAATGATCAGTCAATATCTAGCGTAACAAAATGAGTGAGGAGAGTACTAAAACCGTTAAAAATTAAGACCATTATTTTCAATATTATTCAGGATTAGAGATCTAATTGTAAAATACTAGAGGTAACAAAGCAGTCTTTTGTTATCTTTGCATATGATTTTATTTATATAATTAAACCTGTGATGTCCGAAAATTAATAATCTGTCAGAAAAGTTTGAGGTTCGTTCGGGTTTAAAACAGGAGGATTCCCTTTTGCCAGTCCTGTTCAATTAGGCATTAGAACATGCCATTAGGGAGGTAATGCGTACCGAAAAAGGGTTGGATCTGGTTGGGACAATACCCATGCTGGGCTATGCAGATGATCTGGTACTGTTAAGTGAGGACGTGGAAACTTTAAAACTAAATACGACAACGTTAATGAATACCAGTAAAGAACTAACGCTCTAAATGAACACGGATAAGACAAAATATATGGTTAGCTGCAAAAATGGTGTTATTACTGGTGATATCGATATAGATGGTAATATGTTTGAACAGGTAGAGAAGTTTAGGTATCCTTTAAAGGTTTAGTTATTAGGTCTACGATAACTAATAAAAACAAAACTGAATAAGAGATTAAGGTTAGACTGAAGGTAGGAAATGCTTGTTATTTTTCTGTGACAAAACTACTTAGCTCGTGCCTCTTGTCCCGGAACTTAAAAATTAGAATCTGTAAAACCATTGTCTTACCTACAGTTCTTTATGGTTGCGAAACATGGCCGCTTACATTAAGGGATGAGCAACGTCTTAAGGTTTTTGAAAATAAAGTATTGAGTAGAATATTCGGACCGAAGAAGGATGAATTAACAGCAGAGTTCAGACGGTTACATAATGCCAAATTGTGTGACTCTATCCGGGTAATATAATTGAGGTGATTTCATCCCGGCGAATCAAATAGGTCTGTAAAATTATTGGACTTAGTAACGAGAGAACTGCTTAAAGGTTGACATCTGCTGTGCCCAATTGTAAACGTCCAAGGGGTAGACCAAAACGAAGGTGGAAAGATTGCATTAAAGCCGATCTGAAGGGACTAGGTTTGGACGACGAATGGTGGAGAGAGGTGTGTAATAAGCGACTGATGGAGTTTGGTTCACTAAACCTTTTATTATTATAATTAAACCTGAGAGTTATGGAAGAATGGAGTAAGAGCAAGACAAAGTAGAGAACTCCACACCCCATTGTAAAATATAAAATAAAGAAACAATAATTCTAAACTACAAATTTCTGAAAAATTTATGAACAGCAATAGGTTGGTTTTTAGTACTTTAGCAATCTGAAAAAACTAATTATAAAATAATGACTAATTGACTAGCCTTCATAAATTTTGGAAAAATTAGTATTTATTTTTTAATGGAAAAAGACACCATAATACTCATTCTCTTACTGTCTGTCCTATCTCTCTTTTACCCATGAACAAAATCCTGGAAAAGCTCATCTTAAAACGCCTTTATCCCATCCTAAATTCTAACCACATAATGCCTGATCACCAATTTGGATTCCGCACATCCCTTTCCACTATCAAGCAATGTCATCATGTAGTAGACGCTGTCTCCTCTGCATTGGAGCACAGAATGTATTGCACTGGAGTCTTTCTCGATGTTGAACAGGCATTTAATCGAGTCTGGTACCCGGGATTGCTTTACAAACTCCGTAAATTCCTTCCCTCTACATACTTTCTAATCATCAGTTCCTATCTTACTGATATAACACTTCAAAGTATATCACAATAATACCTATTCATCCCTTGTTTCTCAATCTGCCGGTATTCCTCAAGGTAGTAAGTATCCTTGGTCCTATCCTTTACACAGTTTATACAGCTGATATCCCAATCCATCCTAACACTGTTATCACTATGTATGCTGATGACACATATATCCTGTCAGTTAATAATGATCCACCAATTGCATACCAAACTCTTCAATCACACAATAAAATAATCCATAGAGACCTCATCGTTCCATATGTTTCCGATTTGGCCCAATCCAGATACTTATCCTTCCATAATAAACTTCATAACCATCCGAATCCTCTTGTTCCTAACCTTGCTTCCTCTTCGATTCTTGATAATCCACCGAGGCGTCTCAAAAGAAGATGGCCTCATGATCTCCTCATATAGACATATTAGTAGAGTACTACCAATGGGTAGTTTCTCAACGAGCGTTTTCATGAAATTATATTCCTCTGTGCACAATTACTTGATGTATTTATACTAATACAGTTGTAAATATCATAATAAAAATTTTAAAAAATGATTTTTTTAATGGTTTCAATGAAATTCAACTAATATTAGAACAATTGATATTTTGCTGTTTAGGCTTTAATATGACTACTGATTTCATCAATGTAAGTTAATACCGCGTAAATCGAAATCCCTACATAATGTAACTTTAAATAAATCATTATTTTAATTGCCTTCATATTCAAGACCATTGTTAAGGGAGTTTCCTTAGGAACTCCTTACTAAGGATTACCTTTAAAATGTACCCATTTAACAAACTAAACATAAAATGCTAAAATAAACTAACCTGAGGCTGGTCATTTGAAACTTCATCAGGAGGTGCTTCAGCCATTCTGTAAACAAGGAATGGCTGGATAGCTTCACTCGAGGTTTCTAAGCCATTTGTCATGGCCCTCAGTTGGTTTACAATGTGTACAACAGACCAGTTTTGTAAAGCGGCTGGCACACCCACAATTATTCTCCGCTGTAAAATAAAAGTTCACAATCAAGAAAACATAAAATTGGTCAAATGAAACTTGAAAAAATTCAGTAAAAACAAAACTTACAGCCAGAGTAGTAAAAATAGCTTCCAAACCTTGCTGACCATTTTGACAACAATACAGAAGAATGGATGCTAGATGACGAGCATAGTCATTAAAGTGATTTGGTATATTTCTCAAAAATTCGTTGTCATCTGAAAATTTAAGCCAAAAATTGACCATAGGCTAGCAACATAAATATTAATAATAGTATAACAAATTAAAATATACCTTCTTCCAAAACATCTCTGATAAGGATAGGAATGGTTGTATGATTCAGTTGATTAACAGTAGCAATTATATCTACATCATCTCTAAATGGTATATCTTCTTGAGCACACTACAATACAATTGAAACATATTTACTTAGTTAAATTTGAGATACAATATTATAGAGTATAACCCAAACTAACAAATTATATAATAATGGCTTACGATTGATTCTATCAGAGGCCTCAGCTCAGTATTAATCCTATTCACAGCATCAGATACAGCCTGGTTCCCTTCTCTCCCTCCAAGCAATTGATTGCGGATGAAATCTCTCAAAACAGGCCTCAGGCTAGCAAGAACACTTGAATTAGCTGTTCCCATGTTCAACACATCAATTACCCTCATATTGCGAGCCTGCTACCAAAAGTTAATTTGTATTTAACTTCACACCATGTTTGAATTTCGCAAATAGTAAATAAAAATGTAGACAATTTTATTTAAATTATGAAGTTTATAAATATTCAATTAACAGTTCTGCTCGCAAAAAAGGCAGTTATTATAATCTGCTTTCAGCTTATCTTTATAAGAATACATTGATACTTAAAATTATTTCAATTCTTCTTTTTGAGTTTACATTATAGCTGTTCAATTAATTATAAAACAAAGGTATCATATTTTTTAAAATAAGCACTTTACACCTAAAAGGCCTTGTAGAAATTTAAATAAATTCTTTAAAGATAAAACATGAGGCAATTTAATCATTGTAATTGTACTCCTACCTTCATACTGTCCATCTTTAACTCTAACGTTAGCTGTTTAACGTTAAAAATTTATCAAGACTTCAACACTATACGTCTTCATAAATAATAAATTAAACACATGGACCTAAATTCAATTATGAATGAACATTAACAGCATCAGACGAAAAAACAGAAAAAGTGATGTAAATGTTCCACCTATTACGACCATGATCACTTCATATCCTCTTTTCATATAATATACAACAGTTTCTGAATTAGTAATGAGAGTTATGAAAAACATTTTATTTCTGATGCACATTACCCCTGAAAATCTCATTTACTCCATTCAGCAATCCCACAACAATTATTATGGACCTGGTAACATCCTAGTCAGACTGATTAAATGAAGCCTCATTACCATCCATTCTTCTAATTCTCTACCATATCTACAATTACGTACTGCAAAACGCTACCTCCCCCACATCCTGATAACCTCACTAGTTCGCCCCTTGAAGAAGATTTTCAACCCATCAACTCTCTATGGTTTCCGTTCAATTTCTCTCCTCTCAAACCTTTCCAAACCTATCCCACTTTTTAGAACAGAATAACCTCCTAAATCCCTATCAGTTTGGTTTCCGACCTGGCTACTCTCACCACTCAGTCTGCCCTCATCAAATCTCCCAAGACCTTCATGCAGGCATGAACCAGAAGAAAATCACCATCCTTATTCTCCTCGACTTCTCCAAAGCCTTTGACTCAGTAGACCACAAAATTCTCCTAACCAAGCTTAAAAATATCTCCTTTTCTACTAGTGGCCTTAGATGGTTCCAATCCTTCCTTACCAGTCGCTCCCGGTTTGTTTTAGTCCCTAATAAACCCCCATCAGAATCTTTATCCTTGTCCAGAGGTGTCCCTCTTCCTTATCCCCCACCATTTTTTCCATCTACATCAATGACCTTGTATCCTCTATTCTTCACTGTCAATACCATCTGTAAGCCGACGACGCCAAATTTATCTCTCCATCAATCTGACAGATTCCTCTTTCTCTGGTGCAATTCAAAAACTATAGGAATTCAGAAACTACTGAACAGCTCACTTATCTCAATTCATAATTCCGTGAAAAACCTAGGTGTTACTATTTATCAAATCCTCTCCTAGAAACCACACATCTCCTAAATTTCCCAATTCACTATCTCTACCCTGAAACAGTTCAACCATCTGCGATATCTCCTTCCATGCAACTCCCGTCAACTACTGGTTTCCTCTCTAGTATTCTCCCACTTTGACTACGGCTGTCTGATAAACGGCAGCCTCTTGGAAAAATTCGAAGGCAAACTTAAACACTTTATACATTTAAATGCAATACATTTAGTTTTCGGAATCTCAAGAGATAAACACATGACCCAGTATTACACAGAGTTGAAGTGTCTCTATCTATCCAACCGCCATATGTACTTCATTGCTATCTTCCAGGTCATCAGAACTCAACGACCCTCCTATATTTTTCACAGCCTCCAATTTAAATATTCTATTCGGTACCGTCCCACTATATCACGTATTTTAGACCTCTGTATTCCTCCTCACCGAACTGCTGCATTTCACAAATCCTTTGTAATCCAAGCTGTCTCGCTCTGGAATTCTATCCCTCCTGATATTAGACATGTACAATCAGTTTCCTCTTTCAAACCTTTATTTCATTCCCTATTAGACTGTCTATGAAGTGTACCTAAGAGAACTCTTTAAGTATCCCTAGAAACTATTCCGGTGTACTTATGTTATTCTAGTTTCAGATGTTTGTTTTATATATATATATATATATATATATATATATATATATATATATATGTTGTTTTTTTCTCTGTCTTTCTACCTACATTTTTATTTTTAATCAAATATTATTTTTTAATTACTTAATTTATGAATGGCCATGCTGGCATTAACCATTAATCCTGTACCTAAAATTTGTTCTAAAGGGACAACAGCCCCAGAATAATCAACAATATTTTCATTTCATTTCATTCAATAATACAGATAAGATGTATAATGACTTAGGAATTATTTGAAATAGGATTATCTGCAACTTACGAGTGTCATAATAAAATCTGTGAAGATGGAGGCTCCTTCTGTATATGAATGGTCAGGCAGTGTCTGCAACATCTCGGCAACAGTTGTTTGAATAGGTAATGTTAAATTCTGAAAAATTAATAACAGTGTATTATTTTACATGAAATAGGTTTATTTTGAATTTTTTAACAGAAACAGTTAAAATAGTTTGATTGGGAGGGAGAACAATTGAGTGACTTCATAACAAAGCCGGAAATCTGCCATTTTTAAAAGTTGAGAAAAAGCCAATTTTTGTAACATAGCTTCAATTTAGACTAATTATGATTGTTTTTAGTAATTCAACTTGAAAATTCTTAAATTAAATCATCAGAAACAGTTTTGAGATGTAGCTATAAAACAAAAATTGATTTTTTTATACACTTCTGAAAATGACAAATGTCCACCCAATGGGTAAAATTCTTTCATTATAACAATTTATGTGAGATTAAAAAGCAGGTGCACTTTTGAGAATTGTCTGGTTTGAAGTTTTCAAATTAAGTGAAATTGCTTAACTCACTGAAACAGTACTTACAATACCTAGAGGTAGGTGCAGTGTTGCCATGCGCTCTGTCATTATTAAAAATAAAGGGAAAAGACATCATTATCACTTCATCAAAGTTCGAAACTAGGTAACATACAGTTGAAATTAATAAATATTAATTTTTTATTATTAAATTTTGTTTTATTTTGCTTACCAAGAACTATTAAAATGAATTATGTAACAATCGTATTTTTATGAACAAATTGATAATTATCAAGTAAATAATGGATATACTTTCTTATATTTTATTTTATAACCAATAAAAAATGAAAATGTTTTTCTAAAATGACGGTAACAATTTAAAAAAAAATTTTTTTTCTAGAAAATTAGAATATCTATATTTATATACAATCACGGTTTTATGAAAGAAATAACAACCATACCCCAATGAAAGAAGATATGATTACAATTAATTTGTCTTTAAAGCAACAAAAGTTATATTACCTAATATTATAAATAATAAGACAGCGAAAATAATTGTAAAACAAATCTAAACTTCATTCATAAAAATATAACTTAGCATACATCAGCAAAAATTATGTACGAGGTACGAGGCTGGTCGACTCTCGTACCTCGTACAAATACGAGGATCCTAGTACGAAGGGCAACACTGGACAGGTGATCTACTTAACTGGATAGTTGATCTCAATAAATATTTAAAATTTGTAAATGGGTGTAGATATTAACTTAAATTTGATTTGAAAAATAAAAAATTAAAAAGAATTTACAGAAGGGATTAGTGCAACTATTGAGCTATAAGCTGAGTATAAAATATGAAATTATCATAGCTAAAGACAAAATAGATAAAAGAACATTATGTTTTAAAAACATAAAGTATCAAATGTTATGTAAAATTCAAATAAATGATTATCAAATTTGTCTACCTTGTACTTTTGTTTTCAATTAGCCCTTGTATCATAATAAAAATCATGCAACTTACATTTACCTGCATTGGTGGTCCTTGTAAGAAAACAGTAATATCTCGGGGCAGAATGCGAATAACATTTGGACCCGTGCCTTGGCTCCCAGCACCACTGGCTCTCATACCTTCAACAAATCAATCAATTAAAACATAAATAATCAGCTAACATAAGTTCAAATATAAAATAAACAAATAAAAGTTATAATGTAAGTTAGAAAGACACAAATTAATTCAGTCTAACTTAAATTTAATCTTTAAAAGAAAGATTACCTGTAGATTAGTTTTTTTAATCAGTTTTACTTTAACACTCTAATATAGCAACTTTCGGTTCAGCTTGTAGGAAAATCCAGTTCAATTTTCGGAAAAAAAATATCAATTTATTTAAATTCCCAACATCAATCATACTAAGTTCAAGCTTCTTAGTAATCAGAAAAGCACGAAAGTGAAATTACTGTGTGGAATAAAATGGCTCAACATGCCTCGAGGGGAGACCAGTGGTTAATCAAGTTTTCTGAATACAGCAGTTAGCTTAAAGATGCAGAAATAATGAAACATATGATGATTTCATCTCTGAAAAAATGAAGAAAGAATACAAAAAAAAAAAAAAAAAAAAAATAACATCAAGATTTATTGAAGATAGTTATTACTACCAACAATCACTATCAAGTCACAATCCAATCAAAACAATGTGAAACAAGGACAATGCAATGATGAATGGATTTGATGAACCGTTTTGCTGAACTTCAAATTAAACTTTTTGCAGGCCTTAAGGTAATTTATTTTATTTCATAATTAGGTATTTTACATTGAAATGAAATATCTGAGAAGAGTAGCTGTCCACACTAGAAGAGATGGCACCTGAAATGAACAAATTAAGAGAAAATGTTAAGGTGCCACCCATATCGGAAACCGTGGAAAAGAAAATGCTCAAATAGTTCAGTCATGTTATGAGGATGAAAGGAAAAAGAGAATTCAGAAATTTTCTGGAGGAAAGATCCACAGAAAAGAAGCCAAGAGGGTGTATCCGGAAAACTTGGATTGACCAAATAACCATGCCAGAACAGAATTAGCCAAAATCTTATGATTCTGTATAAAAACAAAGGTCCCCTCTTGTAACAAATATACACCCATGAAAAACATAATCAAGAAGGTCTATAGAATTTAGTTCTGAACATCAAAGCTGGGATAATATTGCCTTATATCAAATATAGCTAGGAAAAACTTCAGATAGAATTATTAAAATTATTATTCCATTAACATAACATTCAATTGCAAATTTTCTAAAAAATACCTGAAACTTAAGAGTTTTAAAAATAGACAGTTCATTTTAGTTTTAAATCCTAAGATAAAGGAGAATATTCACAGTATTTTAGATGATAAAACAAGTTATCTAAATGAGGCTTACCTGATAGCAAATTGGAAAAAAGATTGACTACAGACGGAGCCTCAGAGGCAGCCCTCGGAGGACTCTCGGTTGAGGTGCCAGTAGACTGGCTAGTTGAACTGTTAGTGTTGCTATTAGCAGTTGCTTCTTGGCCTTCTGCTCTTCTCCTGGTACCATGGATGTGATGGGAATTGCATGGTAGAAATGGGTCAAAGAAACCTGGCACACCCATTCCTAAAAATAAAATAAACATAAAAAAAATGTTCTCTTAACTTAAATCACTACTTATTTGCTAGCTTAGCTCTTATAGAGTAATGTTAAATAGCTTAGCAATGTTTAAGAATGTGAAAAATATTTTATGGTGTCAATGATAACAGGATGGCTTCTAAATATAGTAAACACTGCAAGAATCCTAAGGAACTTCCTAAATATCCAATAGAACTACAAAAATTGACATGAAGTGGTTCATGTTAATTCTTCTCCACTCCAGGAAAATACCTTTTCTTTTAAGAGTTAAAAAATAAAGGATAATAATAATAATAATAAATATATAATAATACTATATGATAATAATAAATATATGATCTGTGAGGAGTTGCTAGTCCCCAGGTGGCGGATAGGGGAATACTCACCGGATATGATGGGTAGCGGGGAAATAAAATACCCGGGGTGGACCAAATCAAGTAGGTGCAACAGTTTCCAAATTGGGCGGCTACCTGGTCAGCATCTGTTCTACATGTCTTGAAAACAAATTTGGAAAATGATAAAACTGGATACAGATCTCGAATCACTAACTACTGGAATGAAGAAATCTCATATATTCAAGTCTCAGGCCAACGTATTGCTGATCTGGTGAAACAGATATTCAGCAGGAAGTTTCTTTCAATGGCTGAGATACACGATATAAAAGAAGAAGTAGCACGTAGGCTAAACTTGAACCATCCTCAGGATTTACAGCCATTAGAACCACAAACCATTGAGGCTGTCACTCACGTGAATCAGGAAGAACAGGTCCCTATGGAGGAACCATTGAACACAAATAATATGGAACAAGCAAGCATCAGTGCCAGTATTATCACAGAACATTTAAAATCCAGGGAATTCCCCTCAAAAGTCGTCCTGTCATCCCTAAAGTAACATATTCTAAACAACCACTACAAACTGTTTTAGCAGTAGATAATCTATTGCAAGAATATATAACAACCAACTCACTTCATGGAAGATTTTACAATTTTATAAAAACATCTGGACAGAGGGATTTCTTCTGGCAATACAAGAACAGGTAATGGCAACATCCTCTAACAGAAAGTATATTCTACATGAAGCAGTCGATGACAGATGCCATCTAGGTAAAGCCACAAATGAATCGATTCAACATGTTAACTCTGGCTGTCAGGCATTAGTGGGTAAAGAATACCTTGCGAGACAGAATAATGCAGCAAAAATTGTGCATCAGGCTCTGGCACAAAAATATAAATTTATAAAAAGGCCATCAGCCTTTTTATAGATATCAGCCGTAGACTAATTTAGAAAAAGGGAATGTCAAGCTATACTGGGATCAAAATATAACTGACCATAGTATTTCCCACAATAGACCAGATACACTGCTTGTTGACAAAGAAACAAAGAAAGCCATCATTATCGAAGTTGGAGTTCTTAATGATAATAATGTAGCTAAAATATTAAGTGAAAAAATTCGGCAGTATCAAGAGCTATGCGAGGAATTAAGGCAGTTATACCGGCTGGTGGAAGAAAAATAATACCCATTATTGTATCCAGCAAAGGTCTGATTCCTGAAGAGAGTCTAAAATCAATGAAGGTATTTGGATTAAGCTGGGAACTTCAGGAAATCCAGAAAGCAGTAATGCTGGGAACTGCCAGAATTGTTCAAAAATTCTTAATATTTCAAATTAAATATTCAATAAACTGTACCCTTGACCTTGGCCCAGGTCAGTGAATTTATCCAGCAGAAAGACGAAAATTGAAAAAATATATGATAATAATAATAAATGAATATATTACCTTGAAAACCAGGAGTTATATGAACATGGGGTCGAGTAGTAGACCTAGTCTGAGTAGAAGTGGTTGGCTGAGTGGTAGTGTTACCTCTTGCCTGACTGTTAGTGACATTAGAATCAGTGCTCGCTGAAGGCTGCGAAGTTGAACTACTACTACTTCCTCCAGTACTACCACTTCCGCCCATCATATGGCCAGCAAGTGCTTGCATCAAGTTTTGTAAAAATTCTGGTGGTGGAGGGCTACCCCAAGGAAATGGTCCAGCTGTCATTGTACCTAATAAAAAAAAAATAAAAAATATTACAAGCCTAACAACTGAATATATGTATAAACAAATCAAGGCAAATGAAAAAGTTTAAATAAACTACTATCATTTCAAATTCTCAATAGCTTTGGTGATATTGTATTAAATGGCACTACATCCCAATTATTTGAGACTTGGCCTGCTCCAGCATGGATCTCCAGTTCTCCCGGTTAGTTGCTGCAGCCGTCCAATTTCTGACACCAAGTAGTCTACATGCATCAGCAGCCACACAGTCTTGCCAGTGCAAACATGGTCTTCCCACTCGTCTGTTTCCAAACACAGGCTCATTCATAGCTCTCTGTGGGGGTGCATTCATATCCATCCTCGCGACATGTCCCGTCCAGAGTAGTCTGGCTAGTTCAATGAATTGGCTCACATCCAGGTCATTAAACAATGTCATTTCCAAATTAGTTCTCCTCCTCCAATTCTGTGGTATTGGACCCCTCCAAATATGTGTTGTATAATCCTCCTTTCAAATCTGAGCAGGGATTTCTCAACTGCTTTAGTTAAGGTCCAACTATCACAGCCATTTGTGAGCACTGGTCTAATAAGAGTTTTATATATTTTTATTTTGGCCTGTGTTGACAACATTCTACTGCGAAGATGTCTCTGGAGGGAGAAATACCACCGATTAGCCATTGCGATCCTCCCGTCTATTTCACAATCAATGTTGTTTCGTGCATTTATCAATAAGCCAAGATATACAAATTCGTCAACATTCTCGATTCCACGCTGTTCCAGCCATGCTTAGTTTTCCCTTGTTAGACGTGAGGATAGGGTGGACATATATTTTGTTTTGGACGCGTTGATAATAAGACCGATTTTGACTGCCGACTCTTCCAGACTTGTAAAAGCTTCCTGTACTGCCGCAAACGATCTTCCCATTATATCAATGTCGTCCGCATATCCAAGTATTTGGGTCATTCAATTTAGGAGGGTTCCTGTAGTCTGGATACCAGAATCCCTTATGATTTTTTCAAGGGTAAAGTTGAATACCAGACATGCCAGAGCGGTCTCCCTGCCTTACACCTGTCGATGTTCTAAACCCCTTTGACAAGTCACCTTGTACTCGTACGAAACACTCATTACCCTCCATTGTCATTCTAACAAGCCTTACAAGTTTTTTAGGTACATTCATTTCTACCATTGCTTTGTATGCTTCCTTACAATTTATGGAATCATATGCTTGCTTGAAATCAATGAAGATGTGATGTGTACCAATTTGATATTCTTTGGTTTTCTCCAGAAGGAGATATTACAGATTATTTATTTTTTTTTATTAATTAAAAATTATATCTGATACTGTTATTGTTTTACAAAATAGAATGTTTTCATAAGTCATGTTAATAATTTAAAAAAATATATAGCATAGAAGGGGAACCACAGCCTGAGTAGCCGCTTGTTGGTTCTGTGACATAATTGCGGCCTAAAAACGTTTTTGCCCGATATTTATTAATGTAGTGCTAGAATTAATTAATGTTTAATTGTTAAATTAATGAAAATTTGGAAATTAATATAATTAAGTTGAATGTATGTATATTGATGTGTGTATTTAGTGATAAATAAAAATAGCAAAGGTAAAATATAAAAAATTATTGTGGCTTCCATTAGCACTGCCTAACCTTACTGCGGCCTGTAATCATAAAAAAGTTCCCCATCTATGGTATATAGTAATGAATCATGAAATTTGAAAACCAATAAAAAAAATAAATCTTTCAGTTTAGTTTCTCCAGAAAAGTCATTACCAGATGTTTCTGTTGTTCCTTGGCTAGTGTTTGTGACCAATGTAGCTTCCATTGAGTCTATAGTAATAGCCCCCTGTCCAACATCCATATAAAACTCAAAATTGCCTTGTCCTAAGTTTCCAGTTCGACCTAAGTGAAAAATAAATAAGAATTAAAATAATTTTAGAGGGTGAGACAAAAATAATAAATTATTTTTCGTAGGAACAAAAACACTATGAGATTAACAACTGATTTTGTTGACTAGACCATAATTTCTATAAAATACAATTTTTAAATTATAATGAAAAGCTGTTTATGAATAGACCTAGATGGGATCAATTAACTGATAAGTAAGACTCTTGTTTTGAAGTATTTCTTTTTTTCTAGTGTGTTTAGGAGAAAAGGGTAGTTTTCAACAAATCTTTGCTGATGGTCGAGCATCCTAGAAGTGTTGCCCGCTATTATATTCTTGAGTCTACCAGGTTTGAATCTGGCCTTGGCAGGTTGAATTTATTTTATGACAGACCAACAGAAGAATCTTGATCTTCCCATTCTGGTTTGAAAATGTTTGGTCGTACCTATAGAATGAACCCTTCCTTTCCCTACCTCCTCCCCTCCATTTGCCAGATATAGCAAGGTAAGGAACAATCAGAAAAAAATGAAAGTTACTTGGTTAGTAGAATTTGATTAAAATAACAAATTATTTATACTTTTGTGCTGAATTAAATAAAAGAACACAAACTTTCTTAAGTTCGATCAGACATGTGAAGAGGATAGAAACAACAAGAATGTCAAAAAAACTGCTCAATGGAAAGCCAGGGGATTAAAGAAGGCAGGGAAAGCCTCGTCTCAAACGGTTGGACGATGTTGAAGGCAACCTGAAGAAGATAGGTACAAAGCAGTGGTGACGCTTCGCTGCTGACAGAGACATGTGAAAGAAGACATTAGCAGAGGCCATGGTCCTTCCTTCAAGAACAATTGAGCCCAGCTATGAATGAATTAATCTAATTATAGTTAATATATATTCATAATTTATTTATTTCCTTAATTTTATCAAAAAAATTATGTAATCATTATTTCCCCCGGCTCTTATTTTTGATTCCTGAATATAATATAAATTGAATTTTGTATATAATATAAATTGATTTTTGTATATAATATAAATTGATTCCTATAAACTAAGGTTAATTCTTATATTTTCTACCCAATACATTTTATCCTTCTGTCCCAAAAAAAGTTTTAAAACATTTAATACATAACTTGAAAAACAGTCACATGTTTCAGTTTATGTTTTAATCATAGTCCAGTTTCCATGGATATGAAACAATTAGAAATTAATTATACAATTAGTAAACAATAGTACAAATCAACAGTTTAAATATAGAATACAAAACTATGTGTGAGAAAAATAATGAAGAAACCTGTTCAACAGGAATGAATTATAAATGTTATGGGCCAGGGATTGATGCGAAAGCAGATCAAGTTGAGGGAACATACAATCCAGGCAATGACTGGAGTCAACAAATGTACAGAGTTAAAGAATATGGAATTCCCTCAACAGGTCATTTACATCCACCAACTGTTAGGCCACCCCCATCATTTGTAGAGCCATTATTTGTGGAATTACCAAATAAATTTGTTAAAGATGTGAGTAAAATATTTAAGTATATTACAAGGTAGTTATTGATACATATATAATAATAAATATTACGTCATAACAGTATGTGATCATTGATCATACTTTCTCCCCCATCCAACTATTTCTTCAATTAGAACTATTGCCAATCATTTCCAAACCATTACTACTCTGCAAATCATTTATCTTTTTATACCAACTAGCAAGATTCTAGCACTGAATGTTCATATTCATCAAACCTACAGCTATTAAGGCGGCCCTTAAACTTTTTGCGATGACAAGCAGGAAAGAAAGAGCGTCCTTGAGACTAGAATACTTTTCATTACCTCTACTGACCACTTTTATGTTTTTATGTAAGGTATTGTACAAAACTGCTAATATTCTCCATGCACAGAAAAATTATCTCCCTCTCATGAATAAGCCGCGATATAGTTTAAAAGTAAAATTGATCACTGAGCACCCTGTTGTTTAACGAGTTAGGGTTAACATGGTCAATATCGGTCAAAGTATTATTAAAATAATAAATGTACTGGTAGTATTATTGAGTTTGTGACATAGGTAATGATTAAATGAAATCCAATTCTAAGAAATAATCCATCAGTACACAATTCTTTAATTTAATGGTGGATAGAAACTGGGACATTAACAGTATTAATAACTGTGTAATGGACGCATCATTCTTAATTACTTATTGATACTAGTGACTTTTGCATATACAATTTTTCTCCTAAATTTAGAATACCTGGTACAATGTATTAGAGTAACAATATAAATATTGCTAAACTATTGAGTTAATATTTTTGTTAGGCCCAATGCGAAAAAATAGCCAAATTCAAATTAAATAAAATTTTAAATTCAGTTTATAATTATAAATATTTTTTAGGAAACCATTTATTTAATTTCAGACATGTTTATTTTTCCAAGTTTCTGTCAATGTCCGTCAAATTTAACCGAACGGAAAGCCCAAGATACTATTGTTTTGGCTATTTTTTTTCCAAATACATTAAACAATTAGAGAGGTATATCGATTTTGTAGTTGATTTTTTTGTAATAGAGGCCAAATGTAATGATTTTGAAGATACTTGGAGTTAGCCATTCGTTTATGGTCAATAAGAGAGAATTTATGGTCCAGTAAGTTTTAATAAGTAAAACAGTTATTGGTTACAGTAAATTGTTTATGATGGCTATTGTTGGTGATAAGATTATATTTTATTGTCAAGTACCAATAATATTTGTAATTTGATAAGGAGTTGATCGGGGGGGTGCAGTCAAATAAATACTAATAATACCTTGCAGGTCTTCATCAGGGCGTGGGATGTGGCACTGCAGGAGGCAGTTGAAACAGTGTTACCTCCCGCAGTGCCACATCCCACGCCCTGATGAAGACCTGCAAGGTGGGTTGAAACGTCGGCATAATAATTAAATAATACTATTTCTATAATTTAGTATTTATTTGACCTCACCCCCCGATCAACTCCTTCTCATATTATATCATATCACTCCTTCTTATATTATATCACGGTCAACCATCTCTACATGATTATATTTATAATTGTGTACACAAGGCCTCCAGTAAGGTTAGTATTTTAAAATAGTAATTTAAAATGGAGGGTGCTTTAGATCTTCAAGTTTTTTATCTTACAGCTCTTGAACTGATGCTGTTTCTCTAGATAGTACCCTCTTTTTTGTAAAGGGAAGGACTAAATTTAGGTGTCGAAAGTAGTACCTTTCAAGCAAAAATAATTCTTGTGATGTTCAGGATAGCAAATTTTACTTCATTTAGTAAATTTAAATCAATGAACTTATTTTTCTTCATAAACCATTGCTTTGAACAAAACCATTGTTGTTCTTCATATCCTCCTTCTTCAAATAAAATAAAATAGACTAACTCATGTGAGGGGGAGAAAAATATTGAAGTATATTCTTAGTATTTCATCATAATTATTGACTAACTAATGATATAGGTAAATATTAGCCACATTTATTTAATATAATGCCACATTAGATATTAGTGTATAAAAAAATTTAATAAAATTAATTTCTTTACATTTCAGCTTTACATCAAATACCCATTTTTAATCCCAAAAGGTATTAATCCAGATGATCATGACAGAGTTGCTCAGAGATCATTCACAGGCGATTTTGATGATTTGACAACTTATCAAGTAGATTTTGGTAAAATTAATAAATTTTATTTAGGATAATTTAAAAAATTACATAAAACCTTTTTTTTTAAACCTACTTTGATGAGTATAACATTCCAGCCTAGTTATGGTTATTTAAATTATTACTAGTCAAATGACAAACTTAAACATATACAAAAGAAGAACTAAACAGTATCTTAGATTATACAATCAATATTTAAAATAGTTAGAAGACCCTCAAATGAGTTAATTAAGCAAGATTAAAAAATAAAAAATAAAATACCATACTTTTTCTACCTTAGTAGTTTAAGATAGAATATCATACTTATTATATTGTAAGAACTTTTAGAAGTAATTTACTACTTTAAACACCTAATTCCTCATACAGCGGTGCAAAATGAGGGAATTGATTGAATAAACATTTCTCAAACTGAAAACCCTACTTTCAGGAAATAAAGGTTTCCCCGAGCCTCCAGAATTAGTGGAAGCTAAAGGTCTAGCACTGCCAGAACCTGACAAACCATCATTCAGATTGCCAGGTGTACCTTACATGCCTCTGTGCCGAAGACCTTTACCTGATACGGAAGCTGTTGATTTAAAAGCAAAAAAAGAAGCAAAGAAAGCATCAGAGAAAAGTAAGAGCATACATGCAACCCATTCCTTTCGATTGATGACATAAATTTCAAATTAAAAAATATTTCCCCCTAGAAAAACTTCATAATATTTTGCGGGTCGGGAAAAGGTGAGGAGTGTGAGTACATCTGAGCCATATTGAAGAAAGGTAATTCACACGTCTTTACTTAGGAGGTGAATGTGACCGAATATCTAAATATTCATAATCTCCACAAAATGTATATTACCTTTGGAAAATTTTTATATTTAGGTGGAATACTAGTCATAGAATATAATGAAAAAAACAGTACCACTACAACACACGAAGGGTCTTGGTTTCACTACTACTAAGGGAAAGCACTGTTTCTTTGTCAACAGTTGTGCAAGCAGGTGATTTGACCGGGATCACGCTCAATCACCAGGTTTTCCATTTTAATTAACTACATAGAGGCTGGGTGTGCCCTAGAAGGATCTCCTGACCCCAGGGTTGATCCACGGCAGATGAAACAGAATAAATAATTTATCATGCCATATCATTTATTGCCATAAGCTGGGATTCAAACCTGGGACCTTAAGCACTGTAAGCTCAGCGTCCTACCACCTAGCTACTCCACACCTCCATAGAATAATATAACACAAAAACAATTTTTTAACTATTGGCACAGTGTGGGCGGGGTGGGCGAATGGGCTAAAGCGTGTGCACAGCACCGCTGTTGCCCAGCAACCTGACATATGAATCTAATGATCTAAAAATAGTCACGAGTTTGCGTCCTGGTGCCGAGGGAGTCTTTTAAATCCCCACCCACACCCCCTGGCCCGGGAAAACCCCGTATAGCCTTAACGGCGAGGACCCAAAAAACAAAAAAAAAAAAAAAACTATTGACACAGTGATAAGGACAGATCAAGTTTCCTTAATTTCAAGAAAATGAATATTTTGTAAATGTATATGGTATCTGCTGATATGATGATGATGAGTAGATTTACCTATATTTACAAGTATTTAATTATTTGACAAATCGATACTTCTATTTATATTTATGTGTGTGTGTGTGTGTGTGTGTGTGTGTGTGTATAAATATATAATAGGAGGGTGTACATGTAAAATAAAATATTACAGAGTCATCACTAAAAACTTTTTTATATAACAGAGAGATAAGCAATATATATATATATATATATATATATATATATATATATATATATATATATATATATATATATATATATATATATATTTTGTTGGCCTTTAATATCAAAAACATCAAGGCACAAAATATTGATCTTTTCATTGATATTTTATAATTATTGGTACTATATTTATCAATATTATTGTTTGAAACTTACATTCCTACTCTTTACTAATATCAAAAACATCAAGGCCCGATATATATCAATATATTTTTTCAATACTTAGCATCTCTACTTGACATAAAATTTGTAAGTAAATGGAATCATGGCTTGTTGCTGTTGGATGAGTTTTCAATAAAATGCTATTTATTGTAGCAATACCTGCTGTGGAAATAATAAGTATTTCTTCTTTTTGCTGGGGAGCTGTATAATATTCTCTATTTTCGGCAATGAAAACTTCCAGGTATACAATTGGTTTATTTGTTGATTTAGATGTTAAGTTGAAGTTTTGGAAAGATTATTATTCCCATCTTCAAAACTTTAAATTCCATTTTTTCTTTATTTTCATGTTACAATACATGTTAAAGTTGTGTTGATACATAAATTGTTATAATTACCTAAAGTCTGATGTGCTCCTTTGTCATGTTTTGAAATTTATGTTATAAATAAAATAAAATACAGTTATACTATCTGGTGCTTAAACATTCCTAGGACCAATAATTGGGTGTCTGTTATGGGGGATACTATTGACCTTAGCATATGATTATTTACTCTTTTACTATTGCTATTAAATGACTGTTTGTTATATAGCTGCATTTCAGTTTTACTATACTATATTTTAATTTTATTTAAGATATCAGCATAGTGTGTTCTCTCATGTTTGGTGTCTGTTTTGTAATTTACTGCTGTTCTATTGTTTTTTTGTTTTTTTTGTGATGTAGATGAATTCAAGTAATTTTGTATTGTTTTTTGGTTCTGTATCCTGGTGGTCTATATCTGTGGTTTATTGAAATTGAATTTATTTGTGTAGTAATTTTATACTGTGGTGTGCTAAAGCTGTGGCGTTTTTGTTTTTTGTAATTTTGAAGTTGGTAATATCTGTGAAATTCTGGTCCTTAAGTGTTTTGATGTTTCTCCAATGTAAATTATGAGGCGATTTTAACAGTTTAATTTGTAAATTATATTTTACTTGTCTAATGAGTCTATTCTGTGTTTTGTATTGGTCCTATTAATGTTGATGCTCCATATAGTAAAACTTTATTTTATTTTCTTTATAACATAAATTTCAAAACATGACAAAGGAGGATGTCAGACATTAGTCAATTATAACAATTTAGGTAACAAAACAGCTTTAACATGCATTCTTTTTCAATTAACTTTTTTCTAGCCATAAATTGCTATGAAAAATATGGGAATTTAAGTTTTGAAGATGAGAATAATTTTCCCTAAACGTCAACTTAACAAGTAAATCAAAAAATAAACCAATTTTTGTATATGTTGAAGTTTTCATTGCCGAAAATAGAGAATAAGTATTTGTTAGAAAATACTAATTTATTTATGACAAGGTCACACCATTTTAACATTATTTTTTGGTTGTTCCAAAATAGTTTTCTTTTTATAAACACAACAGTATTTCTAATAAAACATCACACCGACTTAGACAAATATGTTTATTATATGACATAGAAATTTATTTTTATTATAAAGAAATTTAACATCTTAAACAATTTTTATTTTAGCAATAAATAATTTTTCATTATAAACAAGAGATTTTAGATTTTTTTTTTAGTGAAAACTTCTTTATGCTTGCGTTTCAACTTTTTTTGTGGGGAATGAACGAGACTGAGCAGTCAGGCTCGGATGTTTAATACTCATTTGAGAGAAGTCGGCTCAACTGGACTAATTGAAGTGTTTTTGCATGGGAATTAAAATATCTCAGAAACTAAAAATCGGACTTATATATTGTTAGTGAGGGAAATGTCCATGTCCAACATTTAATTCTCTTTGCAATGAGCTCTTATTCAAAACTATATCTTAACGTAACAGCATGTTAGAGAGGCAAAAGAAAAAATAGTGTCGAAAACCAAATGATAACAAGTTTTAATGAACATAACAATTAAAATATCTCAGAAACTAAAAAATCGGACTTATATATTGTTAGCAAGGGAAATATTCAGCATTTCATCCTCTTTATAATGAGCTATTATTTAAAAGAGTATCTTAAGGGATGCCATGTTATAGAGACGAAAAGCGAAAAATAATGTTGAAAACCAAATTATAACGAGTTTTATTGTTTTTTTTTCGTTTTGCATTACAGACTTAGGATTTTAGCTGCCTTAACAAGCTTGCTTCATCTTTGCCTGTCTTGGGCTACTACTTTCCATTTACTGCATGCAGCTTTGTTGATTCTATCTATCCATCTGCTTTTTGGCCTTCCATGTGGTCTTTTGCCTTCTATTGAGGCACATTAATAGTTATGTAGAGGCTTCCAGATGGATTGCTACGAGCTACATCTTAACCTCCATACCTTCATTTCATGGGATATTGATTGACCAGTTTCTGAAAGCAGTTCTTTGTTGGTCTTTCTTCTCCATGTGTTAGTACTCTGATCCCAGATCGCTCCAGTTATCACGTAGAGGATTTTCCTCTCAAATCTTTTAACACAGTTTCCAGGCCTCACAGCCATATATTAGAACTGGCTTTATCATAGCATTGTGCATCCTTAGTTTGAGATTTCAATACCTTTAAGAGGGAGACGAAAGCTCTGCTTGAGCTAGCTGTACGCTGATCTAGCGTGTTTCTGCCCGTTGGTCATTCCTTGAGGTTATTGTGGAGCCGAGGTATTTGAATTTTTCTACTTTCTAATTTTATTGAAGATTTGGATTAAAATATCTCAGAAATTAAAAAATCGAATCTGTATACAATAAGTGATAGAAATGTTCAGCAATTCATGCTCTTTGTAATGAGCTATAAATTGTAAATGTTATTATTTTGTGAATACAGACCTAAAAATAGTTTATACACAACAATAATTATCTTATATTGGAAATTTTATTACTTTATGAATACAAAACAAAGAAACATTTATATTTAATATTATTAATCCCATCTTGATGTTTTCATTTCTATCATGTGGTCTAAAACACACAACATAATTTTTTTTTCTTTTTTGCATTCTGTTCAAAGAACTATCAATATTGTTAGTTAGAATGGCCCTTTTTTAATTGATATAGTTATGATATTTTATTAATTTCATTATAATCAGTATTTTTGTGGGAAATATAATTGAATTATTGAATTTTAAAATTTTCTTCAATATTATTTTCTTTTAAAGAGGAAGGAGATGGTCCCTAACCACCCCGGACCATCTCCTTCCTTTATAATACAACGGTCAACTATTAAATATTCAATATTTTCTTTTAATTTATCATTTTCCAAATGTTTAACTTCATAATTTAAACATATATTATAGAATTCCAATAACACCAAAATATCATTAGTTTTTAAGATGACAGTGTTAATTATTCGGATTTTCATTTTATCATCTCTTCCCATTACTTAATTGTCTGAGTCATAAATATTCTAGCAAAGTAAACCCATTTAAAAATAAAAGTGTTCAAAGAAAAAAAAAAAAGGCTATTTACATCCAAGTCATTCACTTTACTAAAACAGGGTCAAGAAAGTTTACATCTTGAATGATATGAAGAGTAAGTTAACATTCTACCTTAGTCAGGTAAATAAAAACCTGTAGGAGAGAGCTTTGAATAAAATTTATTTCACATTGTTAACAACTTTATTAATTTCTGCGAATGTTTCTCTTGTTTTTATATTTTACTCTTTAGGGCAAACTTAAAAATAAAAATTAAGCATTATTAGCTAAATGTGAAACAGTTCAAGGAATAACTATAAGAAAAACTTGATTGGAAATAATAAGTTATGCCTAATCTATATACATAATAATTTTAATAGTAACATTACACAAACTTATGTTAAAAACATAAAATAAAGAGTATTATTAAATTTAAGAGATACTAATACCATTTCCTTATATTTGCAGTACTAAAAAAAACTCTATCAATCCCAAAAAAGATATCAGAATATGAAGATAATTATAATACATTAGCCAGATATTGGAAAAATCATGGCTTATACACGGCCCCAAACTTTTTTATCTCCCATAAGAGCACCCTACCGCAAGATTGAAACAAATTTTATATTAAACTATAAAAAATTATTTTTATGTAGATGCTTAGTTCTATTAACATTATTATTTTTTTTTTGCTTCCTCACTACCGAAAGTAGGGAAGCATTGTGTTCGTGCGAGAGATTAAAATTTTTTTTTGCTCAGAATCGAAAATTTTCACTTGCGTTTTACGTTTCAGACATCAAGGATCAAATTTGGTTCGGTGTCTGTTTGTAGTCAAATCGATGTGACGGGCATATCGCCTAGTACCGTTCATCCTATCTTCATGCAATTTTCAGGTATTATGCTGATTGGTGCCTAGATGGTACCGTATCAATTTTATCAAATTCCATCCAGCACTTCCGCTTACGCACGCGCAAACGTATATTTTTAGATATGCCAATATTTCAGAAAGGGCTCGTTCGATTTGGCTCAAAGTTAGATAAAAGGTAGACTTTGGTGTAAAAATAACGTAGTGTCAATTTTATTGAATTCTGTCCACCACTTTCTCTTATATATGCACTACTAGTCTGCTGTCCGCGCATTTTTTCCGAAACTACTGGACCGATTTTATTCGAATTTGGATATAAAATCAGAGGTGACCAGAGGATGATCCTCCTTCAACGACATTACTATTGGCCTTCTTGTTTCAAAATGGCGGCTGGAAAACCTGCGTTGCTATAGACTGTAGCGCTTAAACGAATGCACCGATTTTAATGAAACTTCGCAAAAGTAATTTTCTCTATGCCCTTTTTAAATTTATCTATATATATATATAGAGAATTTAAATTTATTTATTTATTTATTTATATATATATATATATATATATATATATATATATATATATATATATATATATAACTTATGCGACTTTGAAATCAAACGATAAAAAAAAAGGAGAAAAGGGGCTGTTAAATGACTCACACGGCTTCAGAAACAATACTGCTTTATTTGTGAAGTAATCCTTCTTATATACACTTTAGAGCTTTGTTTACATACCAGGAAGGTATTAAGGCTGATACTGCCCGACTCCTGTCCTTATCTCCCCCCCACCAGTTTACGAAAAGCCTTTCGAAAACTTTTAATTCTCGAGTGAAGTGAACTGTATCAGCCTCACCACCTTGTTTCCTGTACGCTCAATACAATAATAATATATATAAAAAAAAAATACAAAATATCATAATAATAGCAATACAACCAACTGAGGAGTTCTCTTGCATTGTCCTACAACAGAGACACTACTCTATGAATAAAACAAATACACTTCTTTTCGCTTAAAACTACAACGCAAAATATACAATAACGCAAAAACGGTTTTCTTAAAAAAAAACATACAATGGAATTAAAAAAAAACACAGCACTTTTTCCTATATACAACTCTTTTTACAATGAAACACAAAAGCCAAAAAAAAACTTTTCTGTGTGCAGGAAAGAGGGCACCACGGTTCATTTATTCTTTTTCTGCCCCTACAAACGGGAGTTTCAATTGCTCGATATGAACTGTGCGTCTCTTTTTAGGCTCCTTCATACTCTCTATCGTCACCAAATTATGTTCCCTGATGGCAACCACCCTGAATGGGCCCTCATATCGCGTCAATTCCTTCCCTCGATTCGTTCCCCTTCTCCGGTACACAATAGTCCCGATTTTCAAATCCCCCATTTGGTCGCGTAATCTTAGATTCTCTCTATCTACCCTCTTCGTCTTTTCCCTTTCTATTCTCCTTCGTACCGTATCCCACGTCTTCTTTAACTCCACCCTATTATTACCTATTTGTTCGGCCACGTGGTCGTCAATCGCCGTTTCCGCGCAATCCCGTCTTCGTTCCCGCATCCCAAACAGTACCTCGAAGGGTGAGAACCCAGTTACGGAATGGATTGAATGATTATACGCTATTATCGCCTTTTTCATCGCAATGTCGGGCTCCAATCCTTTTTCTCCCTGATACACGCGTATATGGTCGCTCAAGGTACTATGTAGCCGCTCGATGCTACCTCTGCTCTTGGGGTGCCCTGGTGTATTGAAATGCCAGTTTATCTCTAAGCGTTTTGCCTCCTCCCTCATTGCGCTATTATCAAATTCTCTTCCTCCATCCGAGGAGACTCTCTCCGGTACCCCATAAAATTGCATCCATGTTTGGATGGCTTCCAAAACTGCATCGGACGACCTCTCCAATATCCGGTATGCCATAGCAAGTTTGCTAAAAGTATCGATCATGGTTACCCACTTATACCCTCTCCATGTGAAAGTGTCGATCTGGAGATCTTGCAATGGTGCGTCTCCCGTGGGTGTCTCTTCCTGTCTTCCCTGAGGCGGGTGTCTGTCGTACTTCGTGCGCATACACACCTCACATGTTCCAATTGTTTCTTGTATGGTCTTCCTCATTCCCCACCAAAAGTATTTCCTGCGCAGTGCCTGTAAGGTTTCGTTCACTCCCCTATGGTTCGTCTTCCCCTGATGATATGCAAGAGTCACCTCCTTTTGCCGTTCCTCGTCCGTTATCGTCTCCACCATATATCTGCATCGGACAAATATTCTATCTATTCCGATTTTTTCGGCCCTCCACATCCTCTTAATCTTTTCCCATATTGTGGCGTTTCCCACATAGAGATGATTTGTCTTCCCTGGCTCCGATGCATCCTTCAGCGCCCTGCAGATCTGATCCTCACGCACCCCTGGTTGCGACCAGACCGTGTGAACCTTACTTCTACCGTAGCGGCTGTAGTCGATTTTCATCATACCCGCCGTCCTAGTCTTCCAGATGACCTGGTGACGCTTATCGTTGATGATCTCATCAATTTCTTCTATCTCTGCTGGCCTCTCCTCCGCCGAGCTCTCCTCTTCGGGGGACTCCTCTTCCTGCCGTCCATCTCTCGTACCGTCCTCCCCTTCCCTTTCCGGTGTCCATTCACTCAGGAACTGTCGAACATCACGCGATGGTCCACCACTGTCTTCCTCGATTGCATTCACTACTATGGCTCTCGACAGCCAATCGGCCACCACATTCTCCCTTCCTGGCTTATACACTATTTCAATATTATATTGGCCGAGAAATTCCTTCCATCGCGCGACTCTCGCAGAGGATTCTTTTAATTTCCCAACCCATTGAAGGGGCCTGTGATCGGTGTGGACTCTGAACTTTCTTCCGAATACGTAAGGCCGAAAATGATCAATAGCCCACACTATCGCGAGCAATTCCCTCTCCAAAGCGCTATATCTCGTCTCAGCCTCGGTAAGGCGTCTACTCGCGTATGCTATGGGCTGCTCTCCACCTACTCCATCCTGCGACAGTACTGCTCCCAGCGCATACTCGCTGGCATCCGTGGTGATCGTGAACTGCTTACTGAAGTCCGGAAACGCTAATACCGGTTCTGTTTGTAAACGGTCCATACACTTCCTAATGTTCTGTTCCATTACTGGTGTCACGATCATCTTAGCCCCCTTTTTCAGCAGATTATTGATCGGGACCAGGTACTCTGCCATTTCCGGCACAAACCTCCTATAATAATTAAGCGTTCCAAGGAGCCTCCTGATTCCTTTAACATCTCGCGGAACCGCCATTCGCCTAATAGCCTCTACCTTCTCCGCGTCCGGCCTAACCCCGTCCTTCGAAATTGTGTGGCCTAAAAAATTAATCCGCTCTTGTCCTAATAGGGATTTCTCTCTGGATAATTTTAGCCCAAAACAGCGCAACCTCTCGAATACGTTTCGCAGGTGTTCCACGTGATCCCCTTCCGTCTTGCTAAATACCAACAAGTCGTCCATATAGACCTGGCATACGGTTTCATCCAACCCTCTCAAGAATTCGTCCATTAAGCGCTGAAAGGTTATCGGAGCATTCTTTAGTCCAAACGGCATCCGGGTGAACTCGTAATGCCCCCTTTCGAATGTGAATGCTGTTTTATGCTGATCCTTCGGGTGCATCTTTATTTGGTGATAACCAGCTTTGAGGTCCAGAGTACTAAATATCACCGCCCCACTCAGCCTGTCCAATATGTCCTCGAATCTCGGGATCGGGTATTTTTCGTCTATCGTGTTCTCATTTAGCTTCCGATAATCTATTACCACTCGGTACTTCTCTTCTGTCTCGCCCGGCACTCCCTTTTTCCTCACCGCCCACAACGGACTGTTGTATGGAGAGGTGCTGTTGACTATTATACCCTGCTTTTTTAAATTCTCTAATTCTTCCCGAATATGCTGTCTAAGTGCTTGTGGATATCGCCTCTCCTTCACGTATGACACCCGCTCCTGCTTTAGTGGTATTTCGTGGACTGTCCTTCCCGTTACACCTAGTATCTCTCCCTCCTTGAAGAAGATATCCTCGTATTCTACTCTTATGGCCTTCCTCCAATCCTCGACTCGATTTACCGCTCCTATCCGCGCTTTCGTACCCCTTATGCTCTCCGTACTCCTGTACCTCTGTCCTCCTAACTTGATCCTCCAAGTCCCATTCCTGTACTCGACTCTAATCCCTACTTGTCCGAATAGGTCGCACCCTATTATCGCCTGGTATTCCCGAGTTATGTTTCCAACAATGTGCACTTTCAAACTCCCCTTTCTACCTGCCCAATGGTTTAACTCAACGACCGCTTCTCCTTCCACCTTACACGCCCCTCCTAGGGTAATTAATTTACACTCGCATCCCTGAATCCGGGGTGCGCTCTCCCTACCACACAGCCTCTCTAGTGCCCCACGGGTCATAATAGTGCAAGTACTTCCCGTGTCTACCAAGCACCTCACTCCCCCTTTTATCGTGATGATTGGCAACCAGCAGGACTTACCTCTTATGTTATTGCAGGTCGCTGTGCGGTCGCCGCTCTGAAGACACACTCCTCAGATCTTTGCCTGCTTGCTCCTCCTCGATGCCGCTCGTCTTTGTCCGCTCCACTGCGTGCTCCTTCCTCCTTCGTCTCCGCTGCTCCCTGGTTCCTCTTCTTCCGTCTCCGAGGCCTCTGATATCTCCGTTACCTCTTCCGAAGGCCCGCTTCGTCGAGTCATATTAGGGTTCCTCCTCACCTTATGCATATTGACCTCCATCGGCTCATCTTGTGCCGTCTCCCTCCT